AAGTGAAATATCTAAATGATCTAGCACAAGAAGCAGAGACAGCGGCAGCAAAAGGAAACCTCAGAGAACTTTACAGTAACACAAGAAAATTAGTAGGTAAATATAGTCAGCCAACTGGATCAATCAAAAATAGTCAAGGAAAGGTACTTACTAACACTAAAGATCAAATGGACAGATGGGTTGAATATTTTGAAATGCTTCTAAATAGACCAGGCCCAGAGGTTCCCCCATATATCCAGCCTTTAGATATGGAACTGGATATCAACTGTGAGATACCATCCAAAGAGGAAATTAGGAAAGCTATAAATCTTCTCAAGGAAGGAAAGGCGAAAGGCCCAGACGGTATCCTAGCTGAAGCCATCAGGGCCAACATAAACACATCAACAGAATTGCTACATAGATTATTCAGTAAAGTCTGGGAGACCGAAGAAATACCAGCAGACTGGAGAGAAGGATATCTTGTGAAACTGCCCAAAAAAGGTGATCTACAGGAGTGTGAAAACTATAGAGGAATTATGTTGCTGTCAGTTCCTGGAAAAATATTAAGTAGAATTATTTTGGAAAGATTAAAAGATGCTATTGATAAAATGCTAAGAGATGAGCAGGCAGGTTTTCGGTCAAACAGATCCTGTACTGATCAGATAGCCACATTACGTATTATAATAGAGCAAAGCATTGAACTGAACTCACCACTTTACATTGGATTTATAGACTATGAAAAAGCATTTGACAGCATAGATAGGGAATCTCTCTGGAAATTGATGGGGCACTATGGAATCCCACAGAAAATTATCAACTTAGTAAAGGCAACATATAAAGACATGAAATGTCGAGTTCTTCATGAGGGAAAGCTAACAGATGCATTTGAAATAAAAACAGGTGTGCGACAGGGATGTCTTTTGTCACCTCTCTTATTTTTACTGGCTATAGACTGGACTATGAAAACAGTAACTGCTAACACCAAGAATGGAATTCAGTGGACCCCTACAAAACAGCTTGATGATCTGGACTTCGCTGATGATAATGCCTCTTCTGTCCCATTCACGGAATCAGATGCAAGATAAATTAAATATACTTACTACGAGATCAAAGCAGCTTGGTCTGAAAATCCATAAAGGAAAGACAAAGATAATGAGAATAAATCAGGCAAATAGTAATGTGGTTTCTCTTAATGGCACCCCACTCCAAGACGTGGAGTCGTACACCTATTTAGGCAGTAATGTAGATAAACATGGAGGAACTGATAGAGATATTAAAATAAGAATACAAAAGGCAAGAGGGGCTTTCATAGCACTAGGGAATTTGTGGAGGTCAAAAGAAATACTAAACTAAAAATTTTTAATTCTAATGTCAAATCAGTACTATTGTATATTGCGGAAACATGGAGAACAACCAAGGCAATTACTAATAAATTACAGACATTCATTAACTGGTGCCTGCGCAGAATAGAAGGAATAAAATGGTATGATAGAATAACTAATGTAGAACTTTGGGAGAGAACTAAACAGGCTCCAGTGGATCAGGAAGTGAGGAAAAGACGCTGGCGTTGGATAGGGCACACACTGAGAGAATAGCATTTACTAGAATGTCTTTGCATTGGAACCCACAGGGGCATAGGAATAAAGGAAGGCCAAAAACACATGGAGAAGAGAGCTGGAGAACGAGGTTAGAAAGATTGGGAGGACATGGGGAGAGCTCCATGCAATGGCGAAGGATAGAACGACTTGGCGTGAGTTGGTTGAGGGCCTATGCTCCAGTGGGGGATAGAAAGGCAGAAGAAGAAGAAGAATATTGGAATCTGACAGAAGATGGATTCCGGGCTGCGTTCCAGTAAAAAAAAAAAGGTAGTATACAACGCAGAATTTCCATCCTCAGTTATTTTGACGAAAGAATATCCACAAGAACAATGGGTCAGAGTCTATACAAATGTGTCTACACAAAGTGTAATAAGAAATGGTGGTGTGGGAGTGTAAATAAAATTCCAGATGGTACTAGGGATAAGTCAGTGTGCCAGCCAAGAAGTACTGCCATAACTTTGATGCAGAAACTTAGGCTATAAAGCAACAGAGAAACAGCTAAATACCAATCTTGGCTCACAGTCTGTGGTAATGCTGACAGATGCAAAATCCATTCTTGAAGCACTCCGGTCTAGGAAACTACTAGAATTGTAAACACTGTTGACACAATACAGCAGTCAGCAAAGAGTCACAATGCAGTGGATACTATCCCATTATGGAGTGCCTGAAAATGAGAAAGCTGATCAATTGGCAGGGGAAGATATGACTTAAGAGCAGCTGGATGTTCTAGTTACATGCACTAAAAGAAAAGGATCTTTATATCAATCAGGAAACCACCAGCCCCAGCACAAAACGACTTTTTTTATTATGGACAGATCAGAACAAATCATTATCCTTCACCTCAGAACAGGACACAACCGATTACATAACCATTGCCAAAACATTTGAATGTGATAAACGTTGTGCTTTATGGAATGGGGGGGGGGGGGGGGGGGGGGGGGGAATACGAAATAGAGAGAAGATGGGAGATAATAGGTGGAGGAAGATAGAAAATGGACTAGGGGTAGAGAAGATTAAATATGCAAGAGAGAAAAATATGGTGCATAGTAATAGCCTCGTATTTCTAGGTATGGTAAAACCTCAGTTGAATACCACTGTTGTAGATGTTCCCAGAGCTAATAAAGATGAGGGTAAACAATAATATAAGTTTTCTTTAGTGATCAGGATCCCAGGCTTGAGGGAGAGTTGTTACGATCTTGTGTTGTGTATTAGGGATATCCAGTTTGAGTTTCTTCATCTGCCCTTTATACCCCTATGGAACTAGGTCCTCAACCAGTTTACACCAAGTCATCCTATTCTTTTCTATCACAGGCTTGAACACCCACCCCAATCTTTTTAACTTTACTGACTAGTTTCCTTTTCCATGTGCTTTTTAAATCTGCCTTTATGCCTTTGTCCCTCTTGGTTCCGGGATCCTCAAGTTATATAAAAGTGTTCTTAGTCATCTGTTCAATTAAACTTTGTTGTCTTTTTCTTCAAACCTTGATTCGTGAAGTTTGTTTATTTCTCTCCCAAAGCTCCACGTTAACGATTCTATCGTAACATTTTATTTACTCTATTCTGCAAAGGCACCCGTTAGTTAACGTTTCTAAGTAGGTTTTACAGAACCTGCAGATTTAAGATTTCTGCCATCTGTCCAATACATGCATGAGTAACAGGTTTAAATCTGACTGGCAGGAGATCACAAAGTTAACGACCCCTAGAGATGTACATGTTTTATTGTAAGCAAGCAAGGTAGCATTGTAATCCTTAATGTATGTTATAAGTGAGAGGGGACTCAGTAATTAAAGAATAAATCAAGAATTGAAACCCCTTCGCTTGGAACATTCCCACACGTGATCCGCTTCCTTTCTCAGTAGCCAGTGGGGAGTTGGCTTGCTAAAAGTACCGGTCGCAACCTGATTAAAAGTCTGTCCATGTTTCTTCCTCTGTTGAATATTTTCCAGACTCTCTACTCACTTAGAGTTAGAATTAGTCTTTCAATGTATGGATTCTCTGTCTGTTAATCCTAGTTTCAGCTTCATAGCAAACGGGTCACCCCATAGTTGCTCCGCTCCTGTGCCAATGAAAAATATACATAGCTCACAGTGTCACGCCATGCACTCAACTAAGAAACTGGGCGACGAAACTATATCCTTCCAGTTTACAAATGGAGCAAAAAATGCAACGGCCACCGTCTGGCAGGAAAAAAAAGGTGGCCGTGCCTAGCGTTCATTTTGACCTGAAGCATTATATGAGGGTTAATAAACGGTCACCCCAGCAGTACCCTCATTATTAGCTGGGGAAGGGACTTAGGACATTACATCCACCAGCAGGCGTCGCCCCTACAATGACCTGCCTGCCTTCACTGTCTGTTCTGTGGCACTGTCCATTTGATCCCAGAGAGCCTTTACCATTGTCCACTTTATAATAAAGAAGTTCACCACCCAGAGGAGGAGTCGAGCGGCCAGTCAGTGGGACCCAGGATTGTTGGTATCAGACTAGGTAGCTTTGCCTATAGAAGAATTTAGCTACAAATCTAGTCAGTCATCAGCAGGTCTACATAAGGCCTGGGCATGACTTGACTTAGGACCTATTTTTCCATTTAGAGATAGGAGACAGAAGAAAGCTCACTAGGAAAGTACCTGGTCCCCTCACCTAATAATACCATAATCTAGCATACATGAAAGCATATCACTGCCTTTGAATTAACCATGACTTGGAAGGTTAACCCAGGCAACAAATGCCTGCAAAAGTCAGATGTATCAGTCAAGAGGTACAAATATTGCAGTCATGTTATAAACTGGCACAACACATTTACATCTTTGGGTGAACTCGGAAGAAGAAGAATTAACCATGAAAATTATTTCTGACTAGAACATACCAAGTCAAATTTTTTCGCTTTTGCAGTAGATAACAGATTCGGCAAACAGTCATAAATTATGTGTGAGCCAGACAATTCTCTACCTCTTTCATTGTGCTGAACAGATCCTGGGACATTTCTTTTAAGGCTTTTCTCTTCTGATGAAGCTGTGAAGATGAATCAGCTATCACATTATGTGCCCATAATTTGTAATGAACTCAAATGTCAACTATCACATTTTGTGTCTATATTTTGTAATTAACTCATGTAAACTATCCCATTTTGTGCCCATAATTTGTAATTAACTCATGTAAACTATCACATTTTTTGTCCATAATTTGTAATTAACTCATGTAAACTATCACATTTTGTGCCCATAATTTGTAATTAACTCATGTAAACTTATCACATTTTGTGCCCATATTTCTGTTTAACGTATTTTTTCTTTCTTTTCACAGATATGTCATCAGCTTTTTTATTTATTAGGAGCTCATCTTTGCCTGTGGAAGGATTGGATCAGACACCACCTTGATCGTATTTTTCTCTGCTTGTCAGAAAACTAATAACATTGACTCTAAACAATGGAGGTCAAAGGTGAAACTCACTCCATGCTATGCAACTTTGAAGTACTAGGATTACTCAGGGATATTCAAGCTGGCAGAGGGCAGAAAAAGCCAAACAAGTTTCAGACAAACTTGGCAACCATTACTTATGAAACCATCAAAAGTCTTGAAAATTGGCCGTGTGTTCATCATACTGGGGAGGGAATTGCAGCAGCAATGAAAGCTCTTACACCATTTAAGCTGACTCCTGCAGAAAAACTTCAGCTGATAAATCTTTGTCCTAGCTCGGCAGTGGAGATTCAGCTGATTGTAGAGGAGAGTGAAGAGAGACTCTCCGAGGCCCAAGTTGAGGAGTTGCTGGATTTATTGTCCACTCATCTACCGGGTCCTGAGAAGGAGGAAGGTGAAGAGGAGGGCATGGAAGACGAAAGTGAAGTTCAAGATGATGCTAATAGTTAATGTTAAATGTTATCTAAATTTAATGTATGCATTTTGAAATTCGCAGATACTTTTGTATTTAAAGAGAATATAAGTAAGAAATATCTGTGTGTTTGTGTGTGTGGTTCTTTCTCATCATGATTTTTTTTTTTGGGGTGGGGGAGCTGCTTTTCTTAGTGAAGAGTAGCTGATCAAGTGTTTAGAATGCTGGGCTGTCATGTAGAGGACCTGGATTCAAATCCTTATTGTGCTGATGAAAGTTTTATCTGTTTTGGGCACAGGTATTGCAGCTGCACAAGTTGGCGCACTTGAAGTCTTTCCTGATGACCCATAGTTTTGTTTTTTAGGGTAACCCCCTGAACCAGATTTCTTCGCTCTGACTGGCATTCTGGACAGTCCTCTAAGACACACTGAACATTTTTGATTTGGTGAACCACAACCATATGCGTAAGTGTCAGCAAGACCTATTTGATGTAAGTGTACTTACAATGTTCTTCCATTCTGAGTCTGAAAATTCAGGCCTAGATGTTTCTGCCAAGCTTGTTTGTACTGTCATGCTGTGGTCTTTAATTTTGGTTCTTGTGTCTACATCACTGGTTTTCAACCTGGAAGGTGCCACTGTTGGGAGGGGGGGTGGGGGGTCTAGTGAGTCTCAAGGGGGCATTAAGGAATTTTAAAATTGACTGCATTTTTACTCTAAAACTTAGTTATATTAAACATTTTTGTTTCGGTTTAATAATGAGTAAAATATTTGTTTAAACTTGCCATTTTCCTCCACATCATCATCATAAACCACTTCTGCCGATAAGCGCCGTGGGGAGGAATAATTTGCGATCCAGTGCACCATGGCCGCCACTGGCTATTTTCATGCCGTGAAGGCGTAGAGTATCTTTAATGTTGTCGATCCATGTTTTCCACGGCCGTCCTCTTACTCTTGTAGCTGATCTTCTGAGATGTGCTTGTGATGGTATATGATCTTGGGACATTCTAACAAGATGGCCAAACCACTTGATCTGCTGTTTCTCAATGAATCTAGTACAAGGTGTCGTTCCCACAATTTGCACAATTTTTTTCATTATTCACTCGATCTTGGATGGTTAGGTTGGCTGCTTTTCTCAGGCACCTCATCTCGCAGGTGGTGATTTTGCGTGTAATGGGCTTTAGATAGTGTCCTCCGCATACCTTTGTGAATCCTGATTTTGCAGCTTTAACATTCATAAAAACAAAACGTTGCTGCCAGCTTGGTGTGGAGAGTGTTCAACATTGTGTCTTGTCCAGCATCAACCAAAAACTAGCAGATATCATCAAGGCAGAACAGTGTCAATAATCACATTGATATTTGGACATTAAATTACTAGTTGTTGGTGATTGTTTCTTTTGTTTTATTTCCCACTTTTTTTTTTTTTTTTTCATCGAACACCGGCTGTGAATTCCAGTGGAAGGTCCCGGTTAATCGTCCGCTTGGACTTTTGGCTTTCACCTGGACCTGATTTTTGCGTGTACAACCGTTTTTCATTTCCCTGCCTCTTGGGCCGACTTCGAAGGAAGACGTCAGGCCTATTTCTAGGGTGACTGTGGCCATTGTTTTGTGTGGGTCGAGACTTTGCCTGATTTGTGTGGTGTCCGCCTTGTCTCCTTCGCCGCAGGTATTGCCCCCGGAGTACCCCTTTGGGGCAGCCCCCTGTGGAACAGTTGGCCCTCAAGGGAAGGCAGGGGCAGATCATGGGCATTCCCCGCCATCCAAGGAGGCTTCCATGCATGCAGAGCCGGCACATGGCGCTCTGGTTCTGGGCTCACCCAAGGAATCGTCACGTCCTGCACATGCCTGCTTAACCTCACAACCGTATCAGGCCTCCCGCTCGACAGGGGCTGCGCCCTCTGGAAGTCAGCGGGGAGCAGCCCGTGGGTTTTGGACTTTTGTGACCACACAGATAGGTACATTAGCCCGACAGAATTTCACATCCTGAATCAGGCATATCGTTATCAGTTTTGTCCCAACACTCGGGCGAGTGGGGTCTTTGGGTGTGGACATTCGGCCTTTTTCAGTTCAGTGCAAATTTTGATGGTCAGATTTTGATCCGTATGATCTAGTTTTGTCGGACATTTAGGCTTAGCCATCCGATGGATGGTTGCTGTTGTGGTGTACCACAGCGCGGTGACGACGACACTGAGGGTTAACCGAGGATGTACGTGACTGGCCAGCCTATGGATGGTTGCTGTTATGGTGCACCTCAGCGCGGTGACGACGACACTGAGGGCCAACCGAGGATGCACAAGGATGGCCAGCCCATGTATGGTTGCTGTTGTGGTGCACCTCAGCGCGGTGACGACGACACTGAGAATTAACCGAGGATGAGCATTGAGCAATGTTCTCTTTACTCAACAGTCTTTTAACCAAGGGTTGTAATTTTAGCTGTACTTTTGTCAAACCTACTCATGTTCCTGGTGAGTTTTGATAACATTTTTCACCCAAGCGTTTGGGGGCGGGCTGATTAGAGCCACAAGGACACATTACCTCTGGGGGCCGCCAAACTCCGAGATCCCCTGACAGCTCTGTTAATGCTCATTTGAGACATTATCCGTGGCGCACGACGAGGACGTGCTGTAGGGGTCTTGCGTGAGGTTCCGTACAACCAGGATAGCAAAGGACTGGCGCCCGAGTGACGTACGGAGTATCTCCTTATACACATCATGTTGGACTTAACTTCCCCTCACGCCTGTGACATAAATCACCGCGCCACTCCCCACTTTGATTTATGTGATTTTTGTGTGTGCAGATTTTTGTTAATAATGCCTGAGAATTGTGCCCTCCTATTTTTATTTGGGGGAGGGGGGCATATGGAGTCTTGTCATAATTACCATTTATTCAAGGAGGATGCCACTTTAAAAAAAAAGAGTTTGAAAATGACTGGTCTGAATGAATAGCTTTAAGATTAATTTTGTCCGTTTGAAGCTCTTAGACTAAAAAGGTAGTAAAGTCAGCTTTCCCCAGTCTGTCTGTAGAGCAGCAGGGCTGTGGATTTCCTTGTCTGGATCCTTCTTCAGCGAGCTCTGGTTGTGTGCCTAATCCACTGTGTCATAAACTGGGGTGTCTTTTCAAGGTCTCTTAGGTTTCCCCACAGCTTAGTTGTCAGTTCTACTGGGTGTTGCCATATGTTGCTCCGCCAAGAGAGGACAGTCTTGCAGGTCAAATTCTGGAGTCTGTTCAGCACGAAGACACTGACAGAGAGCTGTTTGGCTCATACCTAATTTATATGAGTGTTTATTGAGTCTGCAGTGTCCAGAACATCAGCGAAATACTGTGACTTGGTCTGTTCTGTTCATGTGTTTCATAAATTTTTTTTCGTAGCTATAACCAGTGTTGGTTTTTCAATCTGTTTCTGATTTTCTCTTAATGAGAGTTTTGACTTCTGGATCCTATTCCATAACCTGTTAAAATTATGGAACCCCCACCAATAACTAACCTGTCATTGAAATTTCTTTTGAGGTAATTGAGATCCCACCAGCCCCTCTGCCACATCAAGGTAGCTGCAAAGAGCTTTCTTTTGCTTGTCCACCACTGCTTCGCCTGTGGCGGTTTGCTACTTACTGTTTTCCTTTTTCTTCTGCTTTCATCTGAGGGCGTAATTGCATTGTGCCTGTAAACAGCATTGCTGCGATATTTGTATCTTTTGGCTGCCACGTCCATTTTTTACAGGCATTTATTGCCTGGGTTAACCTTTACAGCTTTCCTATCTCCTTGCTTTCTCTGCTCATGGAATTGCTCATCGCGTCAAGGTAAGAACAGATCTCTAGGATGGACCCTTAAGTTTGTGTCGTATAAATAACTTTTCAGTGTCTCTATCCTATGTTCAGTATTAAATTGTTGCTGTAATAGTTATTCGACATATGCTTCGTTAATATAAATTTCTGTAACCTTTGGTGCCATTTCAATGTTTTAAAATGGATTCTGTCTGTATTCCATAGTTGTGGATTTCAAGCTGTACGATAGACATGGCCAATAAGACACCTTTTTTGGGGTGGTGCCTAGTTGACCATGTTCTTAGTGCACATGTGTCCATGGCGAGGCGCACACGCCGCCTTGAGGTGACAGGTTCAGTTCCTGGCATGGTAACTATAGCTTTCGGTTTTATGTTGTCTGGTGTGTTCTTCTATCTTTCTACTTCTTTTTATGAGTGCCGATTAATACACTTTCTGTTACTTGATTAATTCTTAGTATTAAATTGTGAAATATGCTGGAGACTAAAAATAAAAAGGCACTGACTGAAGATGCTTTTTTCTTCTGCTTAGCATTGACGAGTGTAAACTCTGACGGAAGATGCAGGTTGTTCATCCACTTCTGGTTTTTGGTCTTGTTCCAGAACTTATGTTGTGTGTGCACAGATCTGGCTTATTTGTAGGTGTACACACTTTGACTTTTAAGGAAACACCCCCTAATTATGGGATGTTTGTTAGGGGAAAGTAGGTCCAAGAACCCGCACAGGCAACTGAAGATACAGTGTTACATATTAAGGGATTTGTGAATGTGGAGTTGAATGCATGTCCAGCATAGTTATGAGAGGATAAAATTCAGAAATTTTTAAGCAATGTGCTTTTGATGCTATTAAAGTCTGCGTTATATTTGCTACAATAGCATCTATGAGTATGACAAAAAATGAGAAGAGATCATATCGTCACAGAAATTGAAAATAATTTATGGCCGGCATCGTCAGACATAACAAATGATGCGGCCGTCGCTGGTTTTACATGACCTGGCGGGCTGTTTTAGACAAGCGTAGTGTCACATTCATTTTAATGAAACAGAATAATTTGAATCACACTGAAAAAGAAGACATCATTGATATAGTTAATCACCTGTAGTTCATTTCTGTTATTATCAAGGGCGGTAATCATTTGTTTAATGTTAATAGTCAGGATTGACAGAAAAGTCAATAGCAAATAGTTCCCATTTCAGTTCTATATCGTTCCAATTTTAGTTCAGGCTATCAATTTAGCAACAGAGAAACTGCTAAGTACCAATC